GGCTCCAGGCCCACAGTCTATAACACAGCCCAAAGGTTCAGGGCAGCACAGCCTAATGGCTAGAGTCACAGGGGTTTGGGGCAGTAGCCCCAGTAAGGGGGTGTGGGCCTTCCCTGCTACACCAGACCCCGACCCAGATTCCTGTCAGCAGGGGAGGGATCCGCCACTCACTCAGCAGGGAATCCCACCACACGCTGAGCTCACGCAGGTTGGGGATCCCCCTCACACACCCTGCCGGGGTCACTTCCTACCAGAGCTGGCTTTGAAACACAGTTTCAGGGTCATCCGGCTCCGCAGCGCCAGGTTCCTGCAGTTCTGCCGGCTCAGTGCAGTCTCGCAGGTCTCCAGCTCCCGTCCTCTGGGTTTCTAGCTGATCCCACTCTGGAGCACCTTCCTCTCCAGGATCCAGCCTAGAGTGAGCTGAGCTGCTCCCTTTTATACTGCTCCAGCCCTTGGAGCATGCCCAGTGTGGCTGAGGGGGCGGGACTTCCTCTGCCCTGCTAGCCTAGTGCGGGGTATGCAGTAGGCACTGCTACCCTTGCTTCTGCAGTGCTGCTGGCAGGATGCTAACCCCCCGGGAGGATGCAGCTGAGGGTGGGAGCAGCCTCTGGCAGCTGTTGGAATTGATGGATGGTCCCTCCCGTCCTTTCCCCTCCCCTCCCTGGTCTCTGCAGCCCGGGGAAGGAGCTGGAGCAATAAGCTCCCCCAACGTCCGCCTCGCTCCCAGGCCTCCAGGCGCAGCGACCGGTGGAGTCCGTCTGTCCTGGTCACTCACCCTAGCCATGAGACCCCTGCACCCCTCGCCGATGAGGAGCCGGGAGGGGCCCCTCTCCCTGTCCGCAGGGCTTATCCTGGCGTGCCTGCCCGGCAGGGGGCTCTGGCTTTGGCGGAGGGCAGCAAAGGCTGCAGCCGCTCTGGGGAAGCCACGTCCTGGCCACGGGCGCTAGGACAGCAGTGCAGGGGCTCTTGCTCTTTTAATGCTGCTCTGCTGGGCAGCGGGATGGGAAACGTGACTGAGCTGGGTGGCCCAGCGTGGCTCCTGGCACATCCTCCCGGGCAGTGCGTTCGAGAGCCCCGGGAGCCAGGAGGGACCCAGGGCCGCTCAGATACCCTGGGCAGCAGCTGTTCTCCCCGGGCCTCGTGCCGTGGGCTTTGGGTTACGTCCCCACCAGGCAACACCCTGAGGTCTGCATTCAGCGGGCGTTTGCCTGAGTAAGGACTGAGCGGGAGAAACCGCAGCGGCGCACAGACCCCCGGGGCTTGAGTGGGGATGAAACCAGGACCCGCCTGGCTTTGGGAAAAGGTCAGAACAGGGCCACAAAGACCATTAGGCGTTTGGAATGGGTGTCGTGAGGAGAGAGCAATGAGAGTGGGACTTTGCAGCTTGGAAAAGAGACGACTAAGTGGGGAGATGATAGTGGCCCATAAAATCATGAGTGGTGTGGAGAAAGTGAATAAGGAAAGTTATTTACTTATTCCCATAACATAAGAACTAGGGGGCACCACATGAAATGAATATGCAGCAAGTTTAAAACAAACAAAAGGAAGTTTTTCTTCATGTAGCGCACAGTCAACCTGTGGAACTCCTTGCCAGAGGATGTTGTGAATTCCAAGGCTAGAACAGGGTTCACAAAAGAGCTAGATACATTCATGGAGGATAGATTAACTAGGATAGGTAGGAATGGTGTCCCTCGCCTCTCTCAGAAGCTGGGAATGGGTCACAGGGAAGGGATCACTGGATGATTCTGTGCTCTGTTCACTCCCTCTGGTGCACCTGGCACTGGCCGCTGCGGGCAGACAGGACGCTGGGCTGGATGGCCCTTTGGTCTGACCCAGTCTGGCCGTTCTGATGTTCGTACCCAAACAAGCCCCTCTACCGCCTGAGCCAGCAGAAGACCTGCCTTGGCCACATTGCGTAACTAGAGGGCAGTTCTGCTTGCCCCAGGGAGACGGGGCTGCCACACTCTGCCGGCACCGTGCGGGTGGGAGTCAGGATTTACAGCCTGGCCCGGCAGAAGTGGGTGGCTGGGAGTCCCAGATGGCGGCTTCTCTGTCTGACTCCTCGCCCCATGTTGCAGATTGGGGTGGCAGGGCCAATGTGGAGCTGGAGAGAGGGAACGTCATGCCCCAAAGCTGCAGGGTTCCCGGGGGAAGCGTGGCCAAACCAAACGCTTACCCCTCACTCGTCCTGGGAAGGGCTCCTGGCGGGTGCTACGAGGTGTGTCCCTCCCTCCTGCAGGTGGAGGTGCTGCCGTCCCTCCGAGCGCTGGGCCGCCACGTCGACAGGACCCAGTTGACACCAGACTTGGATGGGACTTTCCCTTACTGCCACGACGAGTGGGTCCAGTTCTTCCAGGTGCTGCTCCCACAGCTGTGGCTTGCTCTGTGCGTGGCCGTGGTTTGCTCTCTGCGTGTGCTCCGTG